GGTTTTAGCTTCACAGTTAGTGAAGTGACTTGCTAATGAATTGGCAATTGTTTTTTTGAAAAATTCTGGGAAAATTAAAAATATATTAATATTATTGTAATGTTACATTGCTAATATATTCTTAGTATTACGTGTAACAATACAGTGACATTATAGTAATGTTACGTGCTATTTGATCCTCGGAGATTATAGTAAAATTAAAAAGTAATAACTTTAAATTAAATTGATGTTTTTTAAAGAAATGCTTATAATAATCTTAAAATTTTTTATTGATTGTCAATAAAAGTATTCATTTGACTAAATCAATCATTACACAACTCGGCTCTACTCTAATAATAATTTCTCATTGAATTTACATATGATTATCCCAAGAGTCTTTAAATAAATAGTTATTGCATATTCAAATTGAAAACAGTACTATGAATTGTAAACAAATATGGTTTACCATGTTTTTATAAATAACAATTTTAATCTAAATGATTAACTTTTCTGATTTTAATTACTTTTTTTTATTATAAATACAAATATGATGAATGAACTATTAAAATCATTGATTTATTTTATTTATTATACTTAAACATAAGCAAAAAACAAATAATGGCATTCTATTTCAAACAAAAGATGATCTCAAGAAGAGTACCTATACTTTTTGAGCGAATTTTATACTACAGAAAATATTTTTATTTAAAAAAATTTCTCTCAATTTTAGAGAGAAATTCCTGTTTATAATGTAATAAGTTTAAAATTATAAGAGTTTTATTGAATTTTGTTAGTGGTACATATAATATATGTACCGGAGGCGCAAAAGAATTAAAAAATACAAAAACCAATTTTTTCAAAAATTAAAAAATTGCTGAAAATTTATTTTTTAGATATTTTTGAACCATAATACACCTACAAAATTTTATCAAAATCCGTCAAAACGTGAAAGAGAAAATTTGTCTACAAGAATTGACAAGAAACTATAACCTAATGAAGATTGTGTTCATAAAAAACTGGATACTGTTGGAGTTAAAGGAAAGGCTAGATTAAGAAGCATTGAGTCATTATGGAGATATGTCTCTTACAGAATCTATGATGACCCTAGAGAATGTAGAAGATTTACCATAAATAATTGATGAAAATTTCCAAAATTTTTTTCAGTGTAGATCAAAAGGCCAAATGGATATAATATGTATATAAATATACACTCAGAAAAAAATTTGTTCGAAACAACCAAATTTTGGTTGAATCAACTAAATAAATGCATTGCTATACAGTCAACCAAACGTTTGTTTGATTCAACCAAAAAATTTCTTCCAATACGTTTATTTGTATTAACCAAATGCTTATTACACTTAACCAAAAAATTTTATTTAATATAACTAAAAAATTTGTTTATTTCAAGAGAAAAGATTTGTTTGATTCAAATAAATAGTTTTAGTAAACGTATTTGGTTCATTTAAATAAATATTTTTGTTTCAAAATTTTGTTATTTATTTTCCTCTAATAATATTTGAATTTCCTAATTTAATATTTTCTAGTACATATTATTGGTTAATTTATAATTTATTATATAATTATTGATATTTTAAAATTATACATATAATAAATTATAAATTAACCAATAATATGTATACTAGAAAATATTAAATTAGGAAACTCAAAGATTATTAGAGGAAAATAAATAACAATTAAGTAAAATATTATATACGTATTTCTTCATATAAACAAAATTACTTAATTATAAAAAAACATTTGAAATATTACATTAAACATATTATAATTATGATTTTTATACGTGCACTCAGAAAAAAGTTTATTCGAAACAACAAACTGAAAACTTCACAAAACCTTTTTGTAAATATTCTTCTCACTGGTACAAATTAAATATGCAGTAAGTCAATGAACACAATGTATTTAATATTTATTTAACCGACACTTATAATTTTTTTTCTTTGATTTACCGATTTAACAAATAAATTTGACGCGAACGCGGACTGTAGACAAGTGAGATCGCCATTTTTAAATTCCCAGTAAGAAACGAAAAATTAAAAAGTATTAAAAAGATTCTATTCTTTTGAATGTTATTTCTGTCCAATACTTTTCTATCCAGTGAGAGCAATATAAATAGTAACGATATCAATCCTCTTGAATACCCAGTAAGAAAGCAAAGATTAAGAAGCATTAAAAAAATTCTATCCTTTTGAATGACATTTCTGCCCTATGCTTCTGAATTCCGCGACAGTAGTATAATAATATAATACTAATATTGTTGACATATAGAATGTTCAATTACTTTCAAATAACTGCACTCATGAATTTATTTGCTATTTTAAAAAGGAATAATTATTAAATTATCAGTTAAGAGGGTTAAAAGTGTTTAAAGGTCTCTGAAATTTTTAGGTTAAGATTTATTGTCTAACAGAATAACGGTCCTGACTCGTTTAAATGACGTTAAATTGGTAAACAATCAATTTTTCAGCAAGTTTTTCTTTGAACACAAACACTTTTTACAAAATCTGCCACCGTATGTATCTTATAAATTACAAAAATCCAGAAGATTGCTTGAATGCATGCAGAAGCGCGGTTCCAATGAAAAATTGAAAAGTGATATAATGACAGGCTGTAATAATTTCGGATGGGATTGGAAAGCATTCAGAAAAAAATTTTGTCTTTGTTAAAAATTACAAAAAGAATTGAATAGCATTCATTTTTAGACGAAACGTGGTCCTATCATGGTATAGAAAAGTATTGGACAGAAATGGCATTCAAAAGTATTGGATAATTTCTACTACACCATACAGAGTTTGAATTATTTCAATCCTTTTCTATTTTTCGTTTCTTACTGGGTTCACACATGTACTTTTTGAGACAAGCAAATATTTTTGTTCGACTCAAATAAAATGATTTGGTTGAATCAAACAAAGTTGTGTGTTGTGTCGAACAAACTGTATTTAACTAAACAATATTCTGTATTCAAAACACAAATTTGGTTAAATGAAACAAACAACTTCAAATAAAAAATTTCTTTCCAATAACCAAACAAATTTTACGTATTTATTAAAATAAACCAAATTTTTATTTAAATCAACAAAATTGTTTTATCGTGACAAATAAAATAGGTTAATTAGACAGTTTGGTTAAGTGAAATAAACTTTTTCTCTGAGTGTAATATAGATCTTAGTATTATTCTATTTGCTTAATTCACTGTAAAAAAAGAGCGTCTTGGTTTAAGACGTTTACGTGGTCACATTGAAGACGTTTATAAGCGTCTTATTTGCCTTCTAAAATGCATGTATTTGGAGGTTATGTTTTTCATTTAAGACGCTCAAATAAGACGCTTATTTACATAAGACGTTTATAAACGTCTAAACGTCTTACTTTTAGACGCCATTTTTTGCAGTGTTATTATTCATAAATCCTGTCTTTGTGCAGTTATATTATAACAGTAATACTAATATTAATTTGTAATACAAAATTAGAAGATAAGAATTGAAACATATTTATTTACTTTATGAATAAACGTTTTAGATATGGTATCTAAAATTACTTACATATACACTTTCTAAAATATCTTTAACTAATTTGAAGATAATCGTTTCTTTTTTTAACAAAATAATCAGGATTAATGTGGAACGGGAATGTAAAATTTATGAATTTTTAGCTTATTATACATCAGAAATAACATCAAATACTACCTCGTTTCCTATACCAATTTCCTATGTCGTATACGACGTAAGACAAGACTGCCCTACAACGGAAAAAGACACATAAGCGACATTTTGGTGAAAAATAAGTTTTTAGTATCAATGGATTCGTAATCAAAAACTGCATCTAACTATCGTAATTAAAATAAAAAATTTAAATTATTTATAGTAAAAAATTAAGTTTGAAAATATTGGAATTTGCGAAAAATGAGCAATTGCAATGGAAAAAGACACATGAGGTACTTTGCGTTGTCCAGAATCTGCAGAAGGCATGAATTACGTCACAAAATACAGTGTGAAAATACACACAAAGTCGTTTGCGTTCTTTTTCCATTGTAAATACTGCCGAGCTGGGCTTCGTTTGCGAAACCACATCTGCAAGGGCGCATATGTATTTTTTTAGTTTGTAAACTCAGTGAGTAGAGCAAAGATGTCCAGCGGAAACTATACGCAAGCGACATCGGTTTACCTCGGAACTGCTTTGCGTATGTTTCTTCGCTGGACATCTTTGCTCCGCTCGATGACTTTACAACGAAAAACTCTGCAAGCGACTTTGTGTTCTTTTTACGTTGTATTTGCGATGAAAAAACTTCACAAGTGCATTTATTAACAGAGATTGTTTAAATAATTAATTTTTTTTACTCAATTAGAAAAAGCACATGCTATTTACCTTAGTAAGGATATTTTTATTCATGAAAAATGAGCTCTCAATGAAGTTTTTAACGCAAACACGGTTTTTCTCAAATATCTCCGTTGGACCTATTTGTCGCTTATGTGTCTTTTTCCGTTGTAGGGCAGAAGACGTGACTTCGGTTAACAGTGTAGTAAAAATTAATTTTACTTAATTTAATTTTTTTTGTCTTCAAATTTTATGATCTTTTTTATTATCTTAGTATTTTCGACAACAAATTTCAATTTTGAAAAATCAAATTTTTAGTTAAGAAATTTATTTTGTTAACTAATTACAGAAAGTAAAGAAAAAAATTGCATTGAATGAAATATTGCAAAATGAAGAACCCTATCATGTCCGTGCCTTTCCTTCACTGATTTGAGATGAAGGTCGAAAAAAATGAACAGCAAGTGAATTTTACTTTCTATTGAAGCAATATTTCAATGAAAGGAACAAATTTTGACGTTTTATGTTTTTCATTTCAACAGGAGGAGAGGAGGAAGAATGGAATAATTTTACTAGTGGTAGGGATGCACGATTCTTTATTATTGTCGACGTAAATACTGTGGCTCAGGAAAAGTGGTTGCTCGCGTGGGGCATTTGCAAGGTTCTTTGATTGTAAACCGGTAAGAAAGAAAAATTTCATGATCCCTTGCAAGTGAGGCAAATTCGAATCAGTCTGAATCAGTCGGTGGTCCAACGCTCAAGAAAACGGTTATATCGTTTTACTTACCGCGATTCTGAGGGCTGGAGGGTGGGTTTACATTCTTACTGTGATTTCTTGATTTGACGTACTTAAAAACTCTTATTTGCCTCCCATTGGACTATTGTGCCTAAAACAACTCTTTCATCTAGTTATTTTGTTTTTAGGTAAATTAAAAATTACTTTTAAAATATTTTAATGTACACCCATACACTAAAATAATAATCAGTATATTATTTTGTATTACCCTATTTAATTCAATATGTTTTCAAAATAGTACAAATAATTTATGAATGTAGTTAACAAAATAAAATTTTAGTTGAAATTTAACTAAATGTTTTAAAAAATTCATTATTAAAATATATTATTAATTAAAGTATAAAATTTATAAAATAAATTAAATACGTTGAATGAAAACATACTACTATTTATTTATTTAAATAGAAACTATTTTATAAATATTTTTTTAAATTGGAAAAATTTATTTAAAAAAACAATTTAAAGAACATTTCCACTTAAAGAAGTGTTTTTTATAAACTGTTGATGAAACTATTATTTTTAACCATTGCGTTAAAATAAGTAACCCATTAATTTAAGTATAACAATAAAGAATAGATTAATATTATAAAATAAACAGAACAAAAAATTACAAATAAACCTTAACGAAATTAATATACATGTATACTAAAGAAATTTTAACGAAAATAATGAATACTAATATGACAAGGAAGATAACTTAATAACAAGATAATTAACAAGTATGTAAATAATTATAGCAATTCATTATTAAGCATTGTAGAAAATACACAATAAAAACAAATTTTCTACAATAATGTTAATTTTTGATCTCTGATGATTTCAAAGTAGTTGACAGTGAATATAAATTAAATAGAAAAAACCGGGAATTTCGCATAATGACTTACTAGAATAACCGTAGACGGTAGTCTGTGAAGGTAAACTAATAATTTAATTATTTGATCTGTATCTAAATGACGCAGTAGTAAATGCCCTCTTAATAAGAGTTGAAATGTTTAATAGAAAAAAGTGTGTATGTCAGCAAGTTGCTACTAAGAGTATATTATGAAAACCAGTTTATTCTTCTTTTAAAAAACCTCAGAATTTCAATACAATCTAAATTTGGTAAAAGATTCATAACAAAAAATTGCTTAGAGAAATCTATAATTAATAATGTGTATAATAATACATAAGTATATAATATAATAACTATTATAAATCGTTGTATTTTTTATCCTAACCTTGTAATATTTTGGTTTATACATTTTTTATTTAAAGTTTAACATTAGAAATGATTAGAAATTATGAGTTATCTATTAAACGATTTTCATATTTGTTAATAATTAATTATGTTTTTTTCATAAAATTTTAAAATTTTTAATTTAAAATAATTGTATTTTGTATTCTATATAAAACCAACAATAAGAACTTACTGGATCCTGTTAAATTTTAAAATAATTTATTATCAACATGTTATTTTCAAAATTATTTAGCAAAGAATATGAGTTTTTTCATACAAAATTCTTTGATTTGAAAAATTACACCTTTGTTTATAATCCAAAAATAATGGTGATGGTTGCATAAAGACACATATTTAATTAAAAACTTAAATAAACTTCCTTTACTTTGTCATATGTCTTTTTTTACTATTACGCGATCTCATATTGTACTTTCGAAGAAAATTACGCAATCAAATATTGAGCGTCAATATGTGCTACAAATAATGATATTTTGCTCATTTTATCTGTCAAGAAAATCGCTTACTCTCGAGTTAAGCAAAGTACATAAAAATTATCATCTTTCACACCTGAATGAGTAAACGGCAAATTATTACTTTAATTTAAATACTTTTTACAATTTCTATTACTAAGTTCTGTGAAAATAATTTTATACGCAACAAAATTGGATATTTAATTATTTCACATTTTCTAACTGTTTCTTGTAAATTTAAAGAACGAATATAAATATGTTTCATTTATTAGCTTTTATTTTTTAATACAAATTATGTAAAATTTCCCAAAGGTTAAAAATAAATTTCCAAATGTACGAAAATAATACAACGAATACATTCAGACAAGTGGTAAATTAACACTAACTTTCCAAAATTCATTTGTTTTATTATTTTTCTATAGTGTTTAATTATTAAAGGCCTTAGTATAAAAGTGAAAATTTCTCAACATTTATTCTGTCCGTCCTATGAAAACATTACCAGGCATATATGTAGAGACGCATGATTATTCCCCAAATGTTATTAGACCGAACTGTCATTTTACCGAATTGCATTTATCCGAACTGTTATTTTAACGAAATGTCACTTTTGCAAATCGTCATTTTTACGAATTGACACTTTTGCGAAAAGTCATTTTTGCGAAATATCATTTTTACGAATAGTTATTGTTCTGAAATGTCACTTTTTCGAATTGTCATTTTTACGAAATGTCATTTTTGCGAATTGTCATTTTTACGAATTGTCGTTTATGCGAACTGACATTTTTTCGAATTGTCATTTTTACGAAATGACACTATTGCGAATTGTCATTTTTGCGAAAATTGCTATAGTAAATCTATATATGCATACAAGTTTACTATAGCAATTTTTGCAAAAATGACAATTCGAAAAAATAGCAGTTCGCATAAATGACAATTCGCAAAAATGACTTTTCGCAAAAGTGGCAATTCGTAAATATGTCGATTCGTAAAAGTGACATTTCGTTAAAATTCGGTAAAATGACAGTTCGGTCAAGTGCCATTTGGGGAATAATCATGCGTCTCGTTTTTTACATATCCAAGTTTTCACCTATGAAGGCCGAAAAGTGGCTTCTCTTAATTATAGAGGTTTTTGTACTTATAGAAGTTCAAGTTCGACTTTTCTCACTTATTGAGGTTTTTTTAATTAAAGTTGCATTCATTCGAATTCATTTATAATTTTTAGTTCAACAAGTTGTCCAAAAAATTAACTTTCTACTGTTTTTTTCGAAAAGCTTAAAGTAATATTTCAACATAAATATCTATAGCCTTTACTGTTTTTCCCCATATCCTCAATTGCTAAATAAATTCTGGAGTAACTCTTGAACAAAGATTTTCCGTGCAATAAAATAAGAATATCTATATTCTATAAGAAATAAAATAAATTACCCAGAGAAATTCATCAAATTACTCTTTAAGTCAGAATAAGTGATAACTTGTCCTTTTATTTTAATAAGTACATATATAAACATCTAAGAAGTGAATATTCAGCTATTCGAATTTAGCGAAAATTTGGAGAGTAGACTTAGATATTGAAATTATTGTGAAATAACAAAATAATAAAAGTAGACGTATTTTTTTTGGTTGATAAGAGAATCAGATTTTCAACTTAGTAGATTATTAAAATTACCAAAAATATAATTTTAGGTATATTTTAATTTGTCACTGAAATATATAACAAAACAAAGTAAATTAAAATTATAAGCAAAATAATTTTATTTTTTACATGTCGAAAGAATAAGCTTTTATTAATACAGAAAAGATTTCATGTCCGAATAAATGACAACCAATGAAACGCGCAATGCATATAGCACAAAGGCTTAAAAAATAATTGAAAATGTTGAAATAATTGAATGATAAAAATTATTTAAATACAATATGATTTATTGTGAGAGGAAATACTTTTTTTCGACACACCTATTGCACTAATTACCTCCTGATTACAGCAATCGCGTTTTCGCGTATGTACTAAGGAATAAACTTGCAGTATAGGTAGAGTTCGCGACTCGATAATTTGATGCATTTCTCTCGATCAATTACTCCACCACATTTAGAATTTTTTAAATATTTGATAGCTTTGGGTAATAATCACAAAAATAAAGTATCCTTACGCGGTTGCATATTATAGTTGTGCTCTGGAATTTATAAGCTTAACGAATTGTGCACGCATGACCACTTTTAGAAATGAAAATATCTCTCTATTTAGATTATATAATAGAATATAATAGAATTGATTTAATCAATAATGATAGTATTGAAAAAATTATTTAAATATTTTATACGTAGATTATTAGTAAACTAGCATAAATAACGCGCGCGTGAAGTTTCTTTTTTTAATTGCCATTTGAAAATTCAACTATTTACAAAAATTCTACACAAAATATACTTAAATATATAAAAATAAAAAAATAGTGAAAAAATAAAGAAGTATAATATTATCTATCCAACCATTAAAAAAACAAAAGCATAATCATAACTAAATTCAGTTGTGAACAGACTGGACAGAATGAATAAATATTGATGCATACGACGATTATTATAGTTAATTGGCTGCCAATGCTCTGAATTGTTGCTTGGGTGTTGCTGAACAACATTCTGATTGATATAGATTTTTAAATTAACTTTTAAGTAGTAGCAGGTCCACCCGTACGTAATCACTATTTCTCTAAATTTATTCAGGAAAGTCAGGAAATTTTGACAAAAGTACTAAAATAATATTCAATTTAAAAAATTCATAAGAATATTTTGAATGTTCTATTCGGTACCTGCGGACAAAAATTCCAAACCAAAATGTCCAAGACATAAAGTCCAAAGTCAATGAAGTCCAAAAAAATAGTTTATGTTGGATTTTTGGATTGGACTTTATGTCTTGGTCAAAATGTCCAAATCAAAAAATCCAAATCCAAATTTTCAAAATTATAAAGTATAATGTCGTTTTAATCGTTCTATATTAATTTTAAAATGTGAAAGTTACAAAGTATAAAATAACAGGGAATTTAATTCGACTTGAAAAAACAGAGAATAAGACAGAAATTTTATGCAGAACACCGGGAATTTTTTCACCAAATTAAAAAAGTTTTATTATTTTCATTGGTTTTTAAAATGTCGCTTTGTATTTCAATTTGTATAGATATTTATACTGTTCTCTAAATTTGAATTAATTAAAAATAATTAATTTGATAGTTTTTGCATCTAAAAATTATATTATTATTCAATAATTATAATTATTATTGAACTTCTCTGTTATAATTTAAAATTTCTGAATGTTCAAATAAATTATATATTTTTAGTACTTTAGCAAATTTAATTTTTATTGCTTATTAAGGAAATAATTAATTATTCAATTATTTTCAATATAATTTGAATAAAATTGAAAAATCAAATTTTCAATTATAATATTATAAAC